TCAAAGTCTTGTGCTTTCTTCATCATGTATTAAAGTTTCGTTAGATCTGGTCCTAGTTCAATATTCTGAATTGTAATCAAAATCCTATCATTAGAAACCATTTTTATCTATTCTTCATGGTAGGTAAGAATAAGAAAGTATTTGAAGCAATCTGCTGGTTGGAAGAGAACTTTGTTCCTTTGAGTGTGTGTGTACATGTGTGAATGTTTGCTTCCTAGTCTGCAGTATATAGACTTCGGAGGAGGTGGGGAAAGTAGTCAGCAGTCGTGAAAGTTTACTGCTTGCCCACAGATCTAACTCATATGTCACATCATTTCCAGAGCAGTTCGCCCAAGTGCTCTGGCTTCTGTGTCCTCATAGCACTTGCTTTTTACTTTTATTATCATGTTCTATGACAAAACCTCTTAACATTACTTATTCAGAAATATGTATTGAGCACCTACTGTACACCAAGGACTTTCTAAGTTCTGGAAATAACACCAAGAAACAAAAGAGACAGAAATTCCTGCCTTCATGGAAGAGCCTGCAACAAACTTGCAACTGGTCTTTCCCTCCAGTGTTTGCCGGATTTTGAACCTGCATGGGATGGGAGGCCAAAAGACCGAGGTCAGAACTTCCAAAGAGTAGAAATAAATAGGGAGAGGCTGCTAATAAACATATTAAATAAGAAAATTACCTAGTACATCAATGGCAGTAAGTGCCATTCTAAAAATATATTAGAATAAGGGTGATATGTAATTCAGGGTGAGGATTGCAATTTTAAATAGGGTGGTCAGAGTTGCCTTCACTAAAAGTATAATATTTGAGCAAATAATTGAAGGAGGTAACGGAGAGAGGGAGTTGTACAGGGCAGAATATCTTAGAGGGAGTAGTCTATACAAAGTCCTGAGGTAGAGGCATGCGTGGTATGCATGAAGAATAGACAACGGTAACTGAAACATGACAGATGAGGTAGGAGGGTGCTTATAGACCCTGTAGGTTTTGTAGACATTGGAAGATCTTTAGTTTTACTTTGAGTTAAAAGAGAAGCCTTTTAAGCAGTGTAAGCGGAGGAATAGCATAATAAAAAGGGTCATTCTGAATGGTATGTTGAGAATAGACTAGTGGGGCAAAAACAGAAGCAGGGAGACAAGTTAGGAGACTCTCAGGAATAATCTGGGTGAGAAATGAAGGTGGTACAGGGTAGAAGCAATGGACATGGTGAGAAATAGGCTGGATTTTGGACATACTTTGAAGATAGAGCCAACAAGATTTGTAGGCCGGTCAGATATGGTGAATGGAAAGGAAAGAGAAGAGTCAAGATTACACCAAGATTTTTGGTTTGAGTACCTGAAAGGATAATTTACTCTAACTCAGGTGAGAGAAGACTAGGTAGAAAGGGTAGGGAAGTGGGGTTGGGTAGGAATGTACTGTGTGGATAATTTAAATTTGAAATACCTCTGAGATACTCAAGTGGATATGGCATATAGTAATTATGCATATGAGGCTATTGCCTGGGGAGAGGTTCTGAGCTGGACAAAGCCTGTATTTAAAACCCTGGGACTGAATGAGATCACCAAGAGAATGAATACAGATAGGAAAGAGAAGAAACCCAAAAACTAGGCCCTAGGCAACTCCTGTAATAAGAGTTAATATTGGGGGTAAAAAAAGATAAATTGCAAAAAGCTCTTTTTAAAGGCATCATATAGCTGTGGAAGCAACAAGAATTAGGCGAACTAAAATATCAGACGGTAAGAGTCATCCCTAGGTGGGCTGACTATTGCTGGCTGTTTTCTTGACATTGCTGGCAACACAGATTTCTTAAACAGCATACAAAAATACTATTCATAAGACAAAATATTGATAAAATGGATTATATAGAATTTCTGTTCATGAGAAGACACATTAAGAGATTGAAAAGGCAAACCGACTGGGCATGGTGGCTCCCACCTGAAATCCCAGCACTTTGGGAGGCCGAGGTGGGCAGATCACAAAGTCAGGAAATGGAGACCATCCTGGCCAACATGATGAAACTCTGTCTCTCCTAAAAATACAAAAATTAGCCAGGCGTGGGTGGCACTTGCCTGTAATCCCAGCTACTCAGGAGGCTGAGGCAGGAGAATCGCTTGAACCCAGGAGGTGGAGGTTGCAGTAAGCCAAGATCGTGCCACTGCACTCCAGCCTGGGTAACAGAGCAAGATCCCATCTCAAAAAAAAAAAAAAAAGAAAAAAGAAAAGAAAAGACCAACCATATACTGGCAGAAAATATTTGTAATTTGTATATCTGAGAAAACTCTTATTTAAAATAAATAATTCTTGAAAATAAAAAAGAACAATGTATAAAACAGGCAAATGACTTGAATAGTAGGTTCACAAAAGAGGATTTATGAATGGCCAGTAAGCATATGAAAAGGGGCACAGCATCCTTTGTTATCAGAAAAATGTGAATTAAAGAGACAACACTACACATCCACCAGAATGCCAAATGTGCTAAAGACTGACAATATCAAGTCACCTAGAACTCCCGTACCTTGCTGGTGGGTGTCAAAATTGTTACAATCACTGAAAAAATTTTTTTACAATATTCATTAAAACTAAACATCTACCTACTCCATAACCCAGTATTTCTACTCGTGTGTGTGTGTATGTATATGTATCTGTGTGTGTGTGTGTGTGTGTGTGTGTGTGTGTGTGTGTGTGTGTGTATATGTATATATATATATATATGATAAATGAGCATATTTTTCCACCAAAAGATATAATTTATATGAATTTTTTGTATAATACAGAAATTGTATTTCTGTATTTCTCAACTGTAGAGTGGTTAGTGTATTTATATTACAAAATACTACACAGTGTTAAAAAAGAATGAACTGCATACTGTATGATTCCATTTACATGAAGTTTAATAACACGCAAAACCAGCATATTGTGGTAGAAGTCTGAATATTGGTTATTTACAGTGAGGGCACAGGATTTTTCAGAGTGTTGGAAAAATGATCTAACTTGATCTTGGGAGGTAGTTATATAAGTACATATGTATGCATGTAAAAATTCATCAAGATGTACACTTGAGATTTGTGCATACTACAAGGATGCCATACCTCAGTAACTAAGCATTACATTAGCAGGCCTGATAGTTCCTTGATGATTAAGACTAGACATATCTCATTTACTTCTGTAAGACCAGTGCATAAACTAAAAGCACTTCATAAATAATGTGGGATAAAAATTTAGGAAGGAAATGAGGTAGGTGGCTGGTTCAGTAGTCTCGTTTCTCTTAGGCACCTGTTCACTGCCTAGTTGCCATAGTCAGACTTTTAATTTGTTGGCTGCAAGATCAGTGGTAGTGGTCCTTGCTGCTCATTAAAGTATACCTGGCTTTGGCCCTTTGCTGTTACCGTCCTGACAGTATATAAGTCTGAGTGTATGGAGAAAGGGAAGACTTTTTACATTTAGTGGCATAAATCAAGAAAAATAGCTCTCTCCACTCTGTGGCCTCAGTGAATCTGACACTTTATTTCCTCAGTGTATTCCCTTATTTCATTTCCTCTTCCTCGTTATTTAGCATTCAACAATTATCTGTTGATTATGCATTTTGCCTGGCATTTTCTATCTACGTGGGTATGTAAAACAAGGATCCTTATCCTCAGAAGGTTATGTAGTAAAGGGAGAAGACAGCAATAAGCAGTGAACTGGCACCTTCACCTGTCCATGTTTGGGAACCAAGCAGAACAAATACTTAAAGAGACAAAACCTTGGTCTGTATTCGCACCCCTTTCTTCTGTTGTATGTAATTATAGTTCACTTGCCTTAGTGTGGAGTGGTGAGAAGGGACGGGTGTGGTTTTGGATTAACTTCTGCATGGCATCTAGCACAATGCCATGTGTCTGGGAGAGCTTAGTAAATATTTGTAGCCTTTGGGAGCATCTGCCTGTGCCTGCTTGCTGATTTCCATAATTCTTTTCTGCTACGTGCCTTCCTTATTTCTTTTAACCCATCCTCACTTTGCTGGGAAAAGCTTGATTTAAGATCTTAAGAGATGTTTTCCATAATTTTATTGTTTTATGCCCTAGAATAGGTAGACTGAAGGTATAGAAATCATCCTTCTGGAATGTTCCAACCAGAAACCCAGAATACCGAATTTGGCTGTTACATTGTTGTGATGGGTGTTCTTTTCATATGGTGTTTTAAGTCTCATATTGTAATAGATCTGAAAGGGTCATTGTGCGTACGAAACCACTGAGAAATAATGCTGCTCGAAGTTCTGGAAAGAATGTTAAACATATGGTGTTTTTAAATTATAAATACTCTGTAGAAAGAGATTTCATGGAGATTTGGAGCATAGAAGTGTTGATGTTTAGGGTAAAAAGGAATTTATGTTTTCAGTTGGGATTTACATTCAAAGGATGATCAGTGAAACAGCCTTTTCCAGCTACAAAGGGGAAAGATGGTACAATTTAGTAGAGAATAATTACACCTTGATTTAGAATAGTATGTGAAAACATTTTTCCAACACTATTGGAAAAATGTTTTCACATACTATTTTATCTTCCCACTAATCCAGTGAGATATGTATTTTTAACTCCTATTTTAATAGATTTGAAAACTAGGAGGTGTTAATTGACTTGCCTAAAGTCAATAGCTGGTAGATATTAGAACTAATTTTAAGACCCAGACTCAGAGCTTTCTGAAAATTTTATGCAGTAACATGTAGGTCGTTTTGCAAAGAAGGTAAGTCCAAGGACCAATTTTAATTATGTTAAATACAGATCTGAAATTGAATCTGAAAAACTGTGCTCCTGTGATAGAGTTGTGTCCAGAGGTTAGAACCCACCACTTTGAATTCTGGCTTTGCAAAATGTCTGTGACCTTTTGACCACTCTGACCTGATGGGAGGCCTTGGTACTCAAAGGTGAACTTTTGAATGAAGTAGTACCTATTGTAGCATTTCTTATAGAATTATTTTCTTGGATTCTGTGGTTCCAGCAATTTTCTTTCTTTTTCATTTTTGTCCCCAGGAGCCTCCGGAAGATGATGCAAACATCATTGAGAAGATCCTGGCATCTAAGACTGTCCAGGAGGTTGGTGACTCATGTTTCTAGCTTTTAAATCATTAGCACAGATTACAGCTTCTGTGAAGAGATTTTTGGCTAGAGGACCTAGAATGACCATTATTGGCTGGAGTCAGAGCTAGGCAAGAATATTTTCTGGCTAGCCAACACTGATTTTTACCCCTAATAGAGCATTTTAGGACTTAAAACTCGTAAAATGTCTAGAATGGCTCAAGCTGATGATTTCCTCCATTGTGATCTTAGCAAAGCCATATATCCCTTAGGTGCTATAGCCCACCAAAATTTAGCAGAGGGACAGGAAGAAGAGATGGAAAAATTGTCATAATGGAGGCCAGATATGATGGCTCATGCCTGTAATCTCAACACTTTGGGAGGCCAACGTGGGAGGATCGCTTGAGCCCAAGAGTTCAAGACCAGCTTGGGCAACATAGTGAGACCCTGTCTCTATTAAAAAAAAAAAAAAAAAAAAAAATACACACACACATCCCCACCCATATGAGTCCTAATGGAAACATTGTGGGGGTTCTTTTCTTCAGACATCTCAGGGCCATTGTAGAAATCTCCTAGAGGAAATTCCTGGAGTGGTAGAATATGTTGGTGCTGGTGAGAGCATGGCTTCATCTTTAAGTATTTGTGAAAGTAAACTTCCTTACTTGGAGAGTGAACACCATTGGTGTTTCAGAAGCGAGGCACTAGGGGGACGCCAGAGATGAATGTAGTCACTTCTGCACCAGGCTCTGGTGCTGACGTTTCTCAGAGACCTGGATTTATCAGCTGAGCGCCGTCCCAGCCTAGACTTTGGAAGGACAGCACGAAGATAAATTTTTTACCTTGCAGCTGTGTATTCCACCTTTGGAAAACCTTACCAGTAGGTGTCAGGAAAAGGCCTGGGAAAATGAAAATATGCTCAAGAAATCTTTATGGAAATCAGGCAGAGACGCTGATTACCTGTTTTCTTTTGGCTCATAAGGGTAATCTGCCTAGGATCTAGGCTGACAACTCCTTGCTATTTGTTACAGGTTCACCCAGGAGAACCTCCATTCGACTTGGAGCTATTCTACGTTAAGTATAGAAATTTGTACGTCTATTTAAAGTATTCTCTGTATTTGCGTTTTATATGAATAAAACTCTCTTTCCCTTGGGACTTTGTTATCTTCTGCATCTTCAGAGTCTTGCCTCTAAGGCATGACCCACAGGTCTTGGCTGGTTCATGTTTGTCTTAGGCAGTAACACTCAACTGTAACTGCACACAGAATTACCTGGAGAGCTTTTCTAAACCACTGAAGCGCTTGTTCCACCCAAGGCCATCGGCTCAAACTCTGTGGAGCCCAAGGATTGTTATTTTTTTAAAAACTCCTTGAGCAGTTTTCACGTGCACCCAGGGTAGAGAACCACTCTCCTGTAGCATGTGCTCTGTTCCCCCCTTGTGTATTTTCATTTCTGCTACAGGCCCACTTTCACTAATGTGTATTTATGATAACCTACCCGCACCTGCCCTCCCTCTATCCTCAGCCAGTTTCTCTAGAAGCTACAGAGAGATCAGTTGCTTGCAAGTACTCCTTTCTGTTTTGTTCTCTGTTGTTGCCCTTAAGAGAAAGGCATTTCGAAGCCAAATCTCCAGCAGTTTCACAATACACCATGTCACTATTTCTGTGTTAGATGGTCACCATGTTTACTGCACACCTTAAAGCTCTATTGTTTGCTAGTTACGTGCTTGCCTGACAATTTGTGTGTCTTTGGATAGTTCCTACCTACATTGTAAATGGGCCACAATGGAAGAGCTCGAAAAGGATCCTCGCATCGCACAGAAGATCAAGCGATTTAGGAATAAACAAGCCCAGATGAAGCACATTTTTACGGAGGTGAAGCGATATTTACTGACTCATTTACAGCTTTTCTTGCAGCAGTAAATATTGTGTTTACATTTCTATGTCCATGTTAAAGTCCTGTGTAGATTTGTTGCTCAAGTCAAATTGATAAATGTGTGCTGATTTGCAACAAAACTAGTCTAGATTTAAATCAAAGAAAAGTATCCCCCAAAGTTAAGGATCAAACCTTATAAACTGACAACTCATAACAGCATGCATCTTGGTCTGAATACTAATAAATAGCTAGAGTGAGAGGAATAGGCACACAATTCTTTCATCCCTGCTCCCTCAACCCCCCCAACCCAAAAAGGACATTTCAGAAGGTCCTAAAGTTTAAATATAAAAAACAAAATAAAAGTGCGAGAAAGTAAACAAATACATAATTCTATTTATGTAAACTTGGGAATTTCTAAATATTATACCTACAGCAAGAGGAAGGACTGATGGATTTTAGTATTATTAAACAAATCTATAAGTGCTGTATATCAGAAAATGCCAGCCAGTCATGGTGGCTCATCCCTGTAATCCTAGCACTTTGGGAGGCTGAGGCAAGTGGGTCACGAGGTTAGGATTTTGAGACCAGCCTGACCAACATGGTGAAACCTTGTCTCTACTAAAAATACAAAAATTAGCTGAGCATGGTGGCACACACCTGTAATCCCAACTATTCAGGAGGCTGAGGCAGGAGAATCAAGTGAACCTGGGAGGCAGAGGTTGCAGTAAGCTGAGATCATGCCACTGCATTCCAGACTGGGTGAGAGAGCAAGACTCCGTCTCAGAAAAAAAAAAAAAGAAAGAAAGAAAGAAAATGCCATAAACCTTAACCTTAATGTGTTATTGTTGGAATAAAGTCTAAACCCTGTAATATACCCTACACATCCCTGTATGTCTGTTTTCTGATACATTCCCAAGGCAGTGGTTTTTCCTTGGCTGGGAATAAGGAAACTGTGCTGGAGTAGATAGAAATAATGTAACAAGAGTTCATATTCTTGTGGGAAGGAAAGGCTCTTGAGAAGATTGGAACACTTGAAATTAAGGAGGAATAATACTCGGGAGTAGTTCCTGTAACACTGCCTTTGGTCTTGACTTATTCAACATATTTATTAATAACTTGGGGAAATATTTTTGTGATATAAATAGTAACATAGTTTTGAGTCGAGCTTCTTATCCATTGTTTCCAGGTGCTTTATGTGGTAGCTAGAGCACACATGGAGGAAACTCAGACTCCAAGAGACCACAGCTTTTCACACACACAGAGGTAGACTCCTCTGTAAATCCTAACTCCTGAACACCCAGGAGACATTCTAACCAGACCCAGTACTGGGAGAATAAATGACAGGATCATTCTGGGTTTGCCTGGACAGGCTAGGATGAATAAATGTGCGAAGAAATGTAATATCCTACATTGTTCTTGGAATCTTTCTAGTTTTGAAGTAAGGAAAATGACTGGGTAGCAGTTCTAAGGAGAAAAGATATTGCCAGTTTAACTACACATTTACTGTGTGTCAAGGGTAGGATGTAGCTGCTTAAAAAGTAAACTAATCCTAGACTGCGCCAGTAGAACAGTCTGCTGTATCATGCTCTTTTCATTCCTAAATGTTATGTTCATTTGGGTACCAGGATTCAGTGAGGGACTTTGCAGCACCTGAGGATAGCAACAGGAGGACTGTCATGGTGAGAATGGGGCGGAGGTGGAGAGCGGACTGCACAGTGGTGAGAGCCTGGGCTCTACAGTCAAAACTGCCTCACCCAGCCCAGCCCCACACCCATCTGGGTGGCCTCAGGCCATGGCATAAGCTCCTTCAAACTCAGTGGCATGTGGATAAAGTAGGACTCCTGATAGAATCAACCTCACAGAATACCTGCAAGGATTAGATGATAGTACTCTTGCCATTTTCAGCTTTACTGGAGTATAATTGACAAAAATGTTATTTAAGGTGTACAGCTTGATGTTTTGATGTATGTATGCATTGTGAAATAATCACTGTAGTCAAGCTAGTGAGCATATCTGTCACCTCACGTAAGGTTTTTCTTTCTTTCTTTCCCTCCTACCCCCACCTTAGGGTGAGAACACTTAAGATTTATCCTCTTAGCAAATTTTAAATATATAATACAGTGTTTTTAACTGTCATCACCATGCTATACATTAGGTTTCCGGAACTTACTCATCCTACGTAACTGAAATTTTTTACCCTTTCACCAACGTCTTCTCCATTTACCCCTCCCCTTGATCCCTGGCAACCACCATTTTACTCTGCTTCTGTGAGTTTGATTATTTCATATTCCACATATAAATAAGATAATACAATATTTGTCTTTGTGTGTCGGGCTTATTTTACTTGGTATAACATCCTCCAGGTTCATCCATGTTGTTGCAAACAATGGGATTTCCTTCTTTTTTAAAGCTGAATGATATTCTGTTGTGTAGATATATATACCGCACTATCTTTATCTTTTCATCCTTTGATGGACACTTAGGTCGTTCCTGTATCCTGACTGTTGTGAATAATAAATGACACAATGTTTATAGCAGTGTTTAGCTTATAGTCACTATTCCATAAATATTAGCTTTTTTCATATCATTAAGATGGAAACAGGTTATATGAAGAACTGTTGAACAAACTGGGATTTTTTTTTAACCCAGATAGGAGATTGCTGAAGAGCCTATACAGAGCGGAAAGAATCAAATTTCATATTGCTGCTGTAGAGGAAGCAGTTCATGCCAGTGAGCAACAGTTATAAGGAAGGAAGTTAAGTTATAATTTACTGATGATAAAGATCATGATACTGCTACTAAAGAGTTAGAGATAAAGCTGTTTCGACAGTGAATCAGGTCTTAGAGGATAGTAAATTTCTTAATTGGGAATAATGGAATCTGAGAGGTTCACCAGGGATGTTGTAAAAAATATCCTTCATTGATGAGACAGTGAAACTAGAAAGCCCCAAGAGTGCCTTGCAGCCTGAGTGGCCGTCAGAGCTCTCCAGCACTCCTGGAGAAGGGCTTCGCCTTCTGGGTAAGAAAGACCTGGGTGAACTGTCCGGTTAACATAGCTCTGTGATCTTGGTCACATTACTTAATATCTCCGAGTCAGTTTCCTAATCTGTAAGGTAATTATGGTACCTACTCCGTAAGGTAGTTTTGAAGCTTAAATGGAAGCACTTAGCATTGCTCTGGACATACATTGAATATTTCTGTATGTTGCTTCTTGTTGTTTTGTAGGTAAACTTTTTTTGAAGTATAGTTTGCATAAAGATAAACCAAGTGTACATTTCAATGTATTTTTACAACATAAACACAATTGTGTAACTACTACCTAGATCAGGAAATAGTTGGCACCCAAGAAGCGTCCCACATGCCCCCTTCCAGTGTTATCTATTCTTGTTACTAAGAAGAAAAAGAAACTGTAATTCCTAGTTGCCAAAGGCTGTGTTTGGAGTAAGGAACAGTGAGGAAAAGGGAACCCTTGTGCTGATTTTTGTACATTGCTATAGTGACCAATGGAATTATTAACCTGGCTAGAGTGTAGCTTCTAAGATGGTTGGATCCTTTACATTTAGTCACGGAGAAGAAGATTGGAGATGGTGAATAAATGCCTTTGACTTCTATTCTTAAGCAAACCCTTCCTTTTTGTGTTTGTTGGTAGGGCAAATATTATTGAAATATTTTTGTGATCTAAAATTATTATCCCCAAGTTACTAATAAATATGTTTCTTTTTGTGTTTGTTGATAGGGCCCAGAGTAGGAGTCACTTAGAGGTAACGCCCTAGGTGTTGGAGTTGAGGGAAGGGGACACACTTCCTAACTGTTGTCCTCTGTTTGTGGTAGCCTGATGAAGACTTGTTCAATCCAGACTATGTAGAAGTTGATCGCATCTTGGAGGTGGCCCACACCAAGGATGCAGAAACAGGAGAGGTGGGTGTTTGCTTCTCCTAAAGCATCTTCCCTTCTTTCCACATATTTCATTTGTTTTACCGTGTGGCCTTTGTCTTCACAATATTCCTGTCTAGTCATGTAGGGTGGCTTTCCAGAGGTTGGCAGGTATGACTGACTCCTTTAATCTAATAGAGCATGAAGTTTTTCCTGTTTTCCCACCAGGAGGTAACACATTACTTGGTGAAGTGGTGCTCACTACCATATGAAGAAAGCACATGGGAGCTAGAGGAAGATGTAGATCCTGCGAAAGTTAAAGAATTTGAATCTCTTCAAGTTCTTCCTGAAATTAAGCATGTGGTAAAGTAGTCTTATCTCTCTCTGACACTTCTCGGAACATGTAATTTTATGAATTTTGCAATTATGGAAGTCTACCTGGCTGTGGTTTTGGTGGTATTTTACCTTTTATACTTCACATTGAACCTGCAATTCAGTGTTTTCCTCCCCAGATTGAACTTTGCTAGCACCATGGTCACCTTTAGGTCTCAGCTCTGTTTTCATGTATATGACCTTTAAGAAACTTTGATATTGGCTCAGATTTCTTGGTGTGTGGCTGTTGTATGGGGTCAGTAAGATAAAATGTATAAGAAACGGCTGGTGTGCAAGAGAAGCTCAGTAGTATCTTTCCTGTTTCTTACCTCTTTTCAGCTACCTCTTTTGTTTTTCCCTTCACTCAACTGGAATATTATTAAGCGGAAGAACTGTCCTTTATCTGCAGATCCCTGTGGCCCCCACAGAGAGAACATAGGTTTTTGGTACACATTTTTGAATCTATTTGTTTTTCTGATTCTGGTATTACCACCCAACTACCAAGATCTCCCAGGGTACCTGAGACGTATATAGATTATCCAGCGATTAAAAGGAGGGAGAGTTGGGATCAGAGCTTTTATTTATTTACTTTTTTTTTTTTTTTTTTTTTTGAGATGGAGTCTTGCTCTGTTACTGGAGTGCAGTGGTGCAGTCTCAGCTCACTGCAACCTCCGTCTCCCACGTTCAAGCAATTCTCCTCCCTTCGGCCTCCTGAGTAGGTAGGACTACAGGTGCGTGCCACCATGCCCAGCTAATTTTTGTATTTTTTTTTTTTTTTTTTTTTTTTTTAGCAGAGACAGTATTTTATCATCTTAGTCTCGTCTTGAACTCCTGACCCCAGGTGATGGGCTTGTCTTGGTCTCCCAAAGTGCTGGAATTACAGGCATGAGCCACTGTGCCCAGCCCAGAGCTTTATTAAGGTGTAACTAACTTGAAAAGAGAATCAGTTGTTAAAGAATATGGCTATAAGGGCCGGGCGCGGTGGCTCACGCCTGTAATCCCAGCACTTTGGGAGGCCGAGGCGGGTGGATCACGAGGTCAAGAGATCGAGACCATCCTGGTCAACAGGGTGAAACCCCGTCTCTACTAAAAATACAAAAAATTAGCTGGGCATGGTGGCGCGTGCCTGTAATCCCAGCTACTCAGGAGGCTGAGGCAGGAGAATTGCCTGAACCCAGGAGGCGGAGGTTGCAGTGAGCCGAGATCGCGCCATTGCACTCCAGCCTGGGTAACAAGAGCGAAACTCCGTCTCCAAAAAAAAAAAAAAGAATATGGCTATAGGTTGGAATGATCAGTTTCCGTTTAAAAAAAAAAAAAATCACTTTTTATAAGAAAAACTCTTACACAATTCCTTATTAATATTATTTGTTGCTTTTACATCACTGGAAAGTTGACACTTAGAACATTAAACTTAGGTCCCTGTTGGAGTCCATTCAAGAGCAGTGTTTTGTTTTTGTTGTTCTGGCATATGAAAGAGGTGTCTTGAGATGCAAAACTGTGATTAGAAACTTACATAGTTCATAGTGTTTTGTTTGCATGATTGATTATTAAGTTATTCTTTCAACCCTCTCCCATATATACTGTTTTCTGCTTTTAATTCAACTTGTCAGTCATCTATTAAGTATTTGCTATAGGTTGATTCTTGTGTGAGATATGGTAAGAAAAAGGTACAGGCCCTGTCCTCAGGAGCTTACAGTCTAAGGGAAGAAGCATGGGTATACATAGATAAATACAGCACCAGGCTCATTGTGATGTGTGGGGTAATGCAAAGACTGACCAGGTAGAGAGCAGAGAGAGTTTCATTCTGAAGCTAATTGTAAGTTATTATCTAGAAGCAATCAGGATTTCTACCCATTCTATCAGCCTGACTCCCAGTTAGTTCCCCAACCTATACATTACTCAGAAGGTAATAACTATAGTTTGAAACCAGCCTGGGACAGTGAGATTTAGCACTGTCCTCATTAGTATCCATGTTATGCTCCTAAAATGTCATTCTCTATCTATTTTGCTGTTTGCTTTCCTCTCTAGGAGCGGCCTGCTTCAGACTCCTGGCAGAAACTCGAGAAGTCACGCGAGTATAAGAACAGTAACCAGCTCCGGGAGTACCAGCTGGAGGGGATGAACTGGCTTCTCTTTAACTGGTATAACAGGTGAGGAACCAAAACCAGCTAAGATGTTTGTATCTGGAAGTATGTTATTGCCTTAGCCTGGAAAAGCTAGAATAGCAGTAGCAGACTCGTGAGAGAGAGCTTTGTGGCCATCAGTTTAGGGTGGTAATCATTGCATATTAATCCCCCAAAACTTGATTTTTGTCAGGTGTTTCCCCAACCAAAAGGAATTATCTTTAGACATCATTGACTTTGTGCCTTTTTTTTTTTTTTTTTTTTTTTTTTTTTTTTTGCCAACCTTTTGATTGGGCTCAATCTAGATGAAACAAAACCCAGAAGATCCTTTAAAGCTTTCTATTTCTAAATCGTTAACAACAACAACAACAAAATATATATATATATATATATATATATATATGGGAATATACAGCTGTACAAAACCTTTTAAATATTTTAAAACTTCTTAACTCTTTGTAATAACACTTAAGAGTCAAAAAGTTTTTAGAAAATTGAAAGTTCATACAGTAAGTTACAGTAAGCTAGGGTTAATTTATGATTGAAGAAAAAATATTTTTAAATAAATTGAGTGTAGCCTTAGTGTATAGTATTTATAATGTCTACAGTGGTGTGCAGTAATGTCCTCAGCCTTCACATCACTCACCACTCACTCACTGACTCACCCAGAGCGACTTCCAGTCCTATAAGCTCCATTCATGTAAGTATCCTATATATGTATACCTTTTTGTTGTTTTTTAACTTTTATTTTTAATTCTGGGGTACATGTGCCGGATATGCAGGTTTGTTACATATGTAAATGTGTGCCATGGTGGTTTGCCACACCTATCAACCTATCACCTAGGTATACCATTTTATTTTTTTATTTTTACTTTTTTGGAGACAGATCCTCACTCTGTCACCCCACGGTAGAGTGCAATGGAACCTCTGCTTCCCAGGTTCAAACAGTTCTGCCTCAGCCTCCTTAGTGGCTAGGATTATAGGCACCCGCCATCTCGCCCAGCTAGTTTTTTATTTTTAATAGAGATGGGGTTTCACCATGTTGGCCGGGCTAGTCTCAAATTCCTGACCTCAGGTGATCTGCCCGCCTTGACCTCCCAAAGGTCTGGGATTATACAGGCGTGAGCCACTGTGCCCAGCCAGGTATACCATTTGTAATCTGTATTATCCTATATTTTTGCTGTGCCTTTTCTGTGTTTAAACATGTTTAGATACACAAAGACTTACTATTGTGTTATGGTTGCCTACAGTATTCACTATAGTGACATGCTATATAGGCTTATAGGCTAGAAGCCATAGGCTATATACCACACACCCTAGGTGTGTATAGTAGGCTATACCGTCTAGTAAGTACACTCTATGATGTTCCCACAATGACACAGTCACCTAATGATGCATTTCTCAGAGTGTGACCCCATTTTAAGTTATACCTGACTGTATTCTCTTCCAAATCAGCACAGTTCTGTTTTGGAAGTAGGCAAGGGATGAATAATAATAATAACTAACCTCAGTTTAATATGTAAAATGATGATAAAGCCTTCAATGATAATCTTATAGGTAAAGGTATATTTGTGAAGCATCTTTTCAAGTTATGACCAGCCCCTGTATGTTTCCTATATTGATAATGAATTACCTATATTTCTCACTCTCTGCAGAAAAAACTGTATATTGGCTGATGAGATGGGCCTAGGGAAAACCATCCAGTCCATCACATTCCTTTCAGAAATATTTCTGAGAGGAATCCACGGCCCATTTCTCATTATCGCCCCTCTTTCCACCATCACTAACTGGGAGCGGGAGTTCCGGACATGGACAGAGATGAATGCCATCGTATACCATGGCAGCCAGATCAGCAGGCAGATGATCCAACAGTATGAAATGGTGTACAGAGATGCCCAGGTGAGCCTCATGTGAATCAGAGACCCAGGGACTACCTAAGCTCAGGACAGCCTTTCTGTCACTTACCTTCAGAAGCTCCAGTGCCCTGCATCTTGTGTTAATGTGGAATGACTTTGTAATATGTTTGTCAAGGCCGACTCCAGCTCTCCCTAGTAGTTCATTTTAATTTATGATACAACACAGCGTTGTAGAACATGCTATCCAAACTCTGAGATATACCTTTTTTAGGACACTGGAAGTTTGACTGACTTACTGGTTTATGAAGTTACTTTTATATGCAGAAGAATTTATCTGAATTGTTATGTGTTCAGTGAAGAAAGTGAGCAAAAGAATTACTGTACAGAGAATGGATTCCCAGCCAGGGAGTTTGGAGAGGAGGTTAACAGATTTGACAGAGAAGGATAAAGAGAAAATAGGTTTCAGATCATTAAAAACACAACAGCAACATTTTCTCTTAAGTTTTTAAGTGTTGTCACTTAGCCGAATATAGTTGTGTGCTTGTCCTGGGCACTGGTTTTTATAATTAAGCAAGGTAAAAATTAAACGATTTCAATCAGGAAAGCCGGTGGTCTCCCCAGAGGTGTCACAGACAGCAGAAAGAGGCACTTGGAAGATAATTCAGAAGTGCTCAGCATGACGCAGCTCTGCTCTTGAAATGTGATGGCAACACCAAGACAGGCTAAAAAACAAAGCGGTGTCCTGCCTGGTCTTAGGTGAATCAGGATCATTACTTTGAATCTATTCTAGAACCCAAATTATATGGTGAAATTAAGTCTGAAAAATAGCAGAGAGTTTCCTTTGGGCATTCAGACTATACATGGTTTAGACTGACTCCTGGTTGGGAACTTGTGAACCAACACCCATCTGATTTCCTTATCACGGCAGCTAAGAAAATGCTCCCTTGCCGTATTGCCCATCCTTCTCATCTTTGTGAAGGCAAATGTTGCCTTGCTTCTGTTTCATTCATGGTATGAGGTCTTTTGACTAACTAGCTGGTTTGTTCTTATATTCTCTCTCTTCTCTCATGAAGAAAAGCAGTGCCTGTTGTCTTCTCACCTAGGCCCTAGCATTTATAGTGCTGCCTCCTCTAATCCAATAGGTATTAGCAGAATTATATAGCCATGATATAAAGCTTTGTCTTTGGTTGTGTCATTCTCAGGGAAACCCCCTTTCAGGGGTCTTCAAGTTCCACGTCGTCATCACAACATTTGAGATGATCCTAGCAGACTGCCCAGAGTTGAAAAAGATTCACTGGAGCTGTGTGATAATTGATGAAGCCCACAGATTGAAGAATAGGAACTGCAAACTTCTGGAGGGTCTAAAGCTTATGGCCCTGGTGAGAGTTAGCTGCTCTTTACATAAACACAGGTTCCTTCTGTTCAGCCTGGAGGAAACATACTTCAGCCATTCTGTGTCTAACTTATTTCTGCCTAGTCCTTTTACATTAGATTTTCTTTTTGCCCTCTATAACTGTGATAGTATAGGAATCAAAGTTGTTGGGTTTTTTTGTTGTTGTTGTTACAAACTGGGTCAACAATTTGGCCTTTGCCACAGATTGATTCCCCTAGACTTAGGACTCTTAAATACCATGAAATATGTGACTTGGAAATGTGAGGTGTTTTGGCTTGTTTCCAGGCCCCTGAATGAACTGGTACCAAAGATGATGACCTTTTATCATTACTGCCTTGGCACAGTGCCCAGTATCTGGTGGGTAGGCACTCAATAATATTTAGTGAATGAATGAATAGTTACGTTAATTAACATGAAAGTGCTGCTGGAATCAGTGATGTGAAAGGAAGGTTGATTCGTTTATTGACTGTACCCCTATGATGGCATATTATCTATTCATTAAAGCAATCAGAATTGCCCCAAATTGAGTACTGAATGCCCTGGCTTAATTTTCCCCACTAAAATGCACTGTTTTGGTGGCCCAAGCACTGTTCATCATGTGCGTTTAATTTGTGCAGGAACATAAAGTGCTTCTCACTGGAACACCCTTGCAGAACTCCGTGGAAGAGCTCTTCAGTTTGCTAAATTTTCTGGAGCCATCACAGTTTCCTTCAGAGACTGCTTTCTTGGAGGAATTTGGAGATCTGAAAACAGAGGAACAGGTAATTAGGGACCTGAATAATTGAGGAGACAGTGTGATAGTTATCTTCATCAAGAAAAGAGCGGGATGCTATGGGGCCAAGTTGTCTCATTACTGATAAAATGAGCATTACCTCCTTTATTCTATGTGCTCATTTATGTTGGGGAGGGTAAGCTGATTATTAGTAGTTCTTATTGCCCCAAAGAATAGATGGGTCCATACCCAAAATATCTTATGTTGGTGTATCGGGCTTCCTTGCTTCACTGATTTCACATATTGTGTGTTTAGTGATTTTGCTTATATTATAGCTCTGGCCTCAGGAGCATGGTGCTTTCTTCTGCTTCCCTCATCCTTCATCCTTTGCCCTTCAAAATCTGTAACTTGTTCCTAGGCCCATCTTCTTGAGTACAACACAGTACACAGGTAATGAGGAAAAGAAGGCAGCCACATACCTAGAGTAGTTGTTAAGTCCACTTTTGTCCAGATCAACTGCATTTCTGTGGTTTTGAAGGTCCAGTTCCAAGTCTAGCTTGTTGGACTGAAAGCTAATAAAAAACAATTGATAGTAATAAAGACTTACTTCATATGGGTAGAAATCTCTACCAGAGGTTATAGAAATAAGCCAGACAAATTTACATGCCCTAAGAGGAGCAAATAGAGTTGGGCCTTCAAAGGAGAGACAGGTCACATCTATTTTAAAGTTAGAAAATACTCCAAGGAGAGAGTACAATTTGAAAATGCATCTTGAGGGATGGGCAGGTTTTCACAGGTTTAGAGAGAAGAGGTGGTAACCACTTTGCACAGAAAAAAAACCCGGCATAATCAGAGCCATGGTATGTATTCATTAGTGGGGAAACATGGGATTGAGCTGAAAACAGAGTGGACGAATTGGGAAGTATAAGGCCAGAAGGGTTTAGGGTTGTATTGTGGGAAGATCTTGAAATGTAGTTTGAAGAATTCAGTAGGTAACAGAGAAGCCATGCAAGGCTTTATTACAGGAATGACATAATTAGCTCTGCCAATTAATCTACCAATGGTGTGTAAAAGGGCTGGGACAAAGAATGAGGGGAATGAAAAGGTTTGGGAATTTTGCCCACATGTCAGGTATATACTCTGTGGTTCCAATCTCTTTCTTCCTACTTCTGATGCAAGTCAGGCTTGCATCAGAGCAGTGAATAATCAAACTTAATTCCTACATTTGCAGTATCTATTGATTTTCAAAAGCCAACTCCAGCCTTCTCTCCATTTTTGGACCGTTAGAAATGCATCCTCTTCTCCCATTGCACTTAATTTGTGGTATGCATTTTTTCTTCTTCCTAGACAAAGATCTCCTTGAGGACAAGGCCCACATCTTCTCCCAAGTTGTGTTTGTTGTATTGACCAGCACAATGTCTGGCATATAGTAAACTCTAAATGATTCAAGGTATGAACCAAGTGAAGGGCAAAAGCTGAACCCAGCATGTGGCAGATTGACATTTGTCCCTATCTTTAACGATCAGCTAGCTGTGTCTTTTCCCTTTAGGTTCTTATACCCATATGGGGGATTAGATTTCTAAATACCCTTGGTTGATAAAATAAAGTTCTCATAAAAAGGTTAAGTTTAAGACTGGAGGTAGGTAAGAGAAAACTGTAAAAATAACATCAAGTATTTTATTTGATATTTTAAATATTTATATATAATAATTTTTAAATTTTTAGGATTTCTGTATTTTTTTAATTGGCAAAAATATATATTTATAATGTACAATATGTTTCGAAATGGCTAGATAGAGCTTATTAGCGCATGCTTTTTGTGGGAATGTTCAAAATCCACTCTCAGCAGTCTTCAAAAATACTGTATGTTGTTATTAACTGTAGTCGCCATATTGTACAGTAGATCTCTTGAACTTGTTCAACTTATCTAACTAAAATTTTGTATCCTTTGCACAATACCTCCCAACTCCCTACCCCACCCCACCCCCCCCTAGTCCCTGGTAACCATCATTCTAATCTCTGCTTCTCTGAGATGTCTGTATTTTAAAACACAGTAAATAAAAGTTCTGGAAAGCATCTGTTTCCAAAATAAAGTGTATTCATCAGTGTCTAAAATCTGCTTTTGTAAACTCTTCTAAATCACTCTGTAAATCACTTTATATTTCTTCAGGAAGCACTGCTGCAGCACGCAACTTACGTATGCAGAGTCTACCCCTTTTAAAATTTTTGAACAGCCCTTTTTGACTTGAAACTTGATTTCTTTTGCACTTTCATCTTCCCTTATTTTGTTTTTCCATCAGGGTAAATCTTACCAGCATCACGTTTTAGCTCCAGGTTAACTCAGGTACTTTGACTTTGAACCCCTTAGTCTGTCATTGTCTCACTGGGAGGAGGAACAAGTCACCTTGCTGGTGCAGCCAGTTGCATAAAGATCTGCTGTCCAGGCCTGTGCTCTTAGGGGAAGAATAGACAATATAGCAAAGAACACACTCAGACTTAAAGTCCCCCTGATGTGACAGATTCCATGATAGAATAGATGTCACCTATAATAACAATTCTTAACATACTGCTACACCCAAACATGTATGCTGCTTTTTTTTTACTTAAAGGTATAGGAGGAATTCTTTTCCAGATCATCTCTACTTCTTACTCTGTTCTCTCAGCATCTAAGTTCCTCTTGTACCACTCATACCTTCTAACATAATTTAAAATATTCTTCAGGTAATTACTGTGCATGTGGTGTGTGTATCAGAGAAAGAATGACAGAGAGACGTGTTTTCTCCAGCCTAAAGACTAAGTACTATCTTTTATATCTTTCTCCCTTTTTTATCTCCTGAGAGTGCCATTAGATTCTCAGTAATTGCTTATGAATTAAAATCATATCCCTTATTTCCTTTCAGTACTATTATAAACTCCCCATTTTCAGGGATCTATCATGATCTTTCTTTTAGTCTGCTACCACGTACTATGCCTAAATGTTCAAGAAATTATAGTGAAGGTTGGAATACCCCCATAATCATTAAATCAGGATTGAGGCAGGTAAATGGTCTCATTTCTCTGGACAGGTAAAGAAACTGCAGTCTATTCTAAAACCAATGATGCTTCGGCGGCTGAAAGATGACGTGGAAAAGAACCTTGCTCCCAAACAAGAGACGATCATTGAGGTGGAACTGACCAATATCCAGAAAAAGTACTACCGTGCCATCCTGGAGAAGAACTTTTCCTTCCTGACCAAGGGGGCAAATCAGCACAACATGCCCAATCTCATCAATACCATGATGGAGCTGAGGAAGTGCTGTAACCATCCCTACCTGATCAATGGTGAGTCAGGGGCACTAGGAAGTAACTCAGGACTGCCATGGCCTCTGCCAGAAGCTAATGATAATGAAATAACTCATGTATTGAATTTTCATTATATGCTAGGATTTATGCATTCTCACCTTAATACAGAGTATAAAACTGAGATTCAGAGAGCTTGACGGATTTGCCTAAGCAGTATAGCTACTAAGGACCAAGAGCCAAGGACTGAACTGAACTTCTGTCAACATGCTGCCTCGCAGCATGTACTCTGCCTGGCAGAAGATGAGTATCACTCCCTGGTTTGCTGCCTTTATTTGCTCAAAGTTTGGCCCACACTTTCTACTTAGGGACGGGGAAATATGTTACTTAGTTGAATGAGTGAAAATGCTGCAATAAGATTAAAACTCCCTGCAGACAAATTAACAATTAACCAAACTGCTAGAAAAAATATTGGGAGGATTTTTTTTACAATGAAACTTTTTGAGAAATTTTAAAATCAAAGTGTGGCCTGGATTCTCTTAATTGTCCTTGTGATGTCAAGAGGTATGAAGGTCCTTCTTGTCTGGGAATGTTTCTTTACTTGGGTGAGTCAGCTTAGGACTTGGTTTCTCAGATCCTCTCTCTACTTTGTGAGACTTCCCAGGAGAGTGGAGCACCTACGTTCTCTTCTGCTGCCACTACAGAGCCTTCTGCTGAAGGCACAGACCAAAGAGCACACTCAGCATTTCCTCATTGGACTGCTGGTCTAGGACCTAAGAATTCACTTCATTTTTCCCAGGACCTGTAAAGCAGAGTACAACCTTTATCCTTATATTCTGTTCAAGGAATAGTTTTGTTCCATTCCTTTTCAGGAGCAGAGGAGAAAATTCTAGAAGATTTCCGAAAAACCCACAGCCCTGATGCCCCCGACTTTCAGCTGCAGGCCATGATTCAGGCAGCAGGGAAGCTTGTGCTGATTGATAAACTACTCCCCAAGCTGATTGCAGGGGGCCACAAGGTACTCATCTTCTCCCAGATGGTGCGCTGCCTCGACATCCTGGAAGATTACCTCATCCAGAGAAGGTGAGTCTCGTGTCAAAGCCCTGTATTCAACACTGGGATAGTTCCTTTTCTTTGATATCTGTTTGATCCATTCAGAAATGTTGTTTAAACACAAGAAAACATTCAAAAATGGAGAAAAGGTAGCTCCTTTTAAAGTTTGGCTGAAATTCAGAGTTTTATAAATTTTATGACCAAATAGACTCAAATTTATCTGTTGAGAGTAAATTTCATGGCCTATGATCTGTAGAGTCCTTGCTTTGCTTAAAAAAAATTTACATATTTATCTCTATTCACTTTGGATGGAAGAAACAATTCAAATAGCATTAGGAAGGGCTAAAATAATGTATTTACATTTTTGTTGCTTAATAATGGTGAAAGAAATATATCCTAGAAATCATCACTATATCAAATTAAGAGCATAAGCTGGCAACTCACAGAGAAAAGAATTTGGGGATATTTTATGTCCTTTCTCAGCAAGCCCTCTAAGGTTATGTGATGCACTGGCTGTGGCATCCCAATTTATTTTCTTATTCATACTCTTATAATTCCTTGAATCTAAGTTTTTTTCTGTTATTTGGATTCTGTGTGGGAACTACATTTGTTACCTCATATGCAGTAACTTAGATTTTCAGTCTTTGTGACACATCAGTGACCTGAAGATGATAAATGAGTTTTAAAAAATTCATTCTTAATGATAAATGACTTTCCAAGATCATAGAAGCTGGTAGCCTAGGCATTGCTAAGCCTAAAGAAAATCTTGTTTTCATAGCAAATCTCAGGTGTCTTAACAGATGTTCTTACTTAACGTTCTGTTGTTTGCCCTTACACATTACATGTACTTTATAGAAAGAGGATTAAAAGAAATGACAAATTAAACTATGGGTATGTTGACATTTAATGTAACATAAATAATTCTTTGAAGTCTGATTAGACAATAAAATAATTCCTCAGAACTCTGTAAGAGAGATTTCTATGTAAAGGATTTTTGAGACTCATATTACATGAATAAATCAAAACTTATAAAGCAGTTTTGTAGCTTTCAATTCACTGTAGATTAAGAGCCCATTGCCAGAGCACTGCTTCTTATGTTATCTTACCCTTCAAAATACATACAGCTATTAGTTTGCAGATTTTATGAAAGAACCCCCAAAATGAGTAATGGTTTATATAACAGACTATTGGTAAGTATAGAAGTCTTTATTTAGCTCTCTTTTATGCTATTTTCTCTTTATTACTTACTGCGCATTTTACGTTCAAATTACTTAAGATTATACTTTCTCTTGAAAATGCGGAAACATATATATAACATTACCACCTGCACAACTCCCCATTCATGCTTGGGAGTTTACCTTTTCAGTCTGTTTTTTTCCATATACATATGTTTAGCTTTATTGTTTGTTTGAATTGCAGTGCTGTTCTACATTGTACTTTGTAAATCTCATTTCTTATTTATTTTGAAATTTTTTTAGTTATTTTTCTACAACAAAATGTTAATGATCTACATGATACTCTACTTTAAATGTTTTCAATTTTTCAGCATTTTAAGGGACTCTATAAATGAATATCCCTTTAAAATACTTGTGAATGTTTTAGGTTATTTCTTTAGGATAAATGTCTGCACATTTTTTAAAACATTTGATACACTCAGTATTTCCATAATGCCCTCTGGTTAAGAGTGTTTTATTTGTATTCTTTCAGAAATATCACATAAGAATGCTCTTTTCCATATTCTGATCGATATTGTTTTTACTTCTTAATCTTTGGTAATTTAGTAATCCAAAATTATGTTCTCCTATTTTAATTTGTGATTGTGATTACTAATAAGAATGAAATTTTTTTTCATATTTATTATTTATGTTTGATTTTGTAGATTGCATATTCATGTTTTTCCTGCATTTTCTCTTGGTCTTTGACTTTTTGTTTATTAATTTATAAGAATTATTTGTTTACTTGAGAATATGTCACAGAAGCTTTCCCCAGTGTTGTTTTTGTTTTTTAATTTTATTTATGAGTATAGTTTTCATTTTTTTGATGTCCTACATTTTATAATAGTCAAATCTTTGTCTTAAAACAACTTTAAACTTACATCCTTATTTATGCCTAAACTTAAGCTTAAATTAATGTGCTTTAAAAGGCTTCTCTCTCATCTTAACTGTGAGACCATATAAATATTCTGGTTATATTTTCTCTTTTTTTTTTCTTTTTTTTTTCCTTTTTTTCTGAGACTGCCTTGCTCTGTCACCTAAGATGAAATACAGTGACGCAATCACTGTATTTCCTCCCATCTCAGCCTCCTGAGTAGCTGGATTAGGCACACCACCACCACACCCAGCTCTTCTTTTCATTTTTTATGGCTTCTTCCCCCAAGCTGTATCCAACAGGGTTCTTCTGGCCTTAATCATTGCCTTTCTCTTTTTAGTTTAGTTTTATTTTCATTAAAGTTGTATGTGCACGTAATTTAAATAGCCATATCACTGTTTATACTTATGAAAAACTGTTTCCTAATTTACTCTCTACCTTCCCCCAGTTTCTCATTTCCCAGAAGCATTTACTTTCAACTCTTTATGCTGTTTCTTTTGGTATTTATAGCTGTATCTAAATAATGCTATTAGTTGTAATTTCTTGATGCTTTTCAGTTTTAGGTATTATCTCTTCTCACTGAGGAAGATGAATGTTGTAGCCTTCTTTCACTGCTCTTCATTCCATCACGTATACAACTTCCTGTCCTCTCATCTTCCCAATATGTCACATAATACTTTGAGTTAGGTTAATATTTGTAGTTTATTATGACTTATGAAAATGCTAAATTATGGCTGAGCTATGTCATGTGCTATTTACTTTTCATTCTTATACAATTTTTATTTTCTCTGAAACTAAAAATTATCTTTTTGGTTCCTTATTTTTCTATACACCTATTATAATTCAGCAGCAAACTTTACCCTGATTGTCTAAATCTCCTCTGGTTGTCTTCTAACATGTCAGTTTCCTCTTATTCAGCCCAGACCTTCTGAGGCCTCCTGACCTGCTCCTCCCTGGCCTGTTGCTGTTCTCCTCAGAGTACACAGTTGTCAGCTGTGATCTGCCTTCTTTCTCATGCTGACTTCCTTTTTTTTCCCCTTTAAATCAGATCTTCTTGTTGGTAGATTCCATGCTAGAACGCCTCTTCCAGGAGCCTCCTGAGAAAAAAGAGTGAATAATAAGTACATTTTGAGACATTGTCTGAAAATGTTTTACTCTGCCCCCATTCTTAAGGAATCTTTTCACAGGATTTGAGATTCTAAGTTGTAAATTATTTCCCCACAGAATTTTGAAGGTGTTAATCCAGTCTTCTAGTGTCCAGAGTTGCCATTGAGAAGTTCAAAACTTTTAGGAATCAGTCTGTGTATGTATTATGTTTGTTCTTTTTAGAAGTTTGTATGTATTCTCTTTGTCCCCAGTCCTATGAAATTTTACAATGAGCTGCTTCACTGGTGTTGGATACTCAATAGATCTTTCCCATCTGAAATCTAAGTTCACATTCTGGGGAATTTTCTTGACTTTATCTTTCATTATAATTACATTTTTTAATTTCATAGAACATTTTTTGTAATTTTTCCATTTTTATATTACCAGTTATTTCACAAGTACAGTGTCTTCTCCTGTCTTTCTAAGGCTTACCATGATAGAATTTTTAAATTTTCAGCTGTTTTCTCTAAGTCATATTTTTTCCCATTTGTTTATATCTGTCTTTCATATTGGAATTTTAAGTTCACTTTTTTTCCTTTTCTTCCCCCTTCAGCTCTTTACAGTGTTAGTCCACTGTGCCCTGCCCCCCATGGTTTCTTATGAGAAGTCCTGCAGTCGTTCACATTGCTGCTGCCCTCTGTGCAATGCATTGGTGTATTCTGGCTACTTCTAAGATTTTCTTTTAATTTTTGGTTTTGGGCAGTTTAGCTGTGATATCTGGGATTCATCCTGCTTACTGAGCTTCTTGAATTTGTAAATGTATGTCTTTCATCAAATTTGGGAAGCTTTTAATTATTATTTCTTCAATGTCTTTTTTCTTTTTGCCCCATTCTCTTGGTTCTTTGTGAGACTCTAATTACCTATTTATTTGAGATACTCCACACAAGTCCATGGACTCTAGTTTTGTTTTGTTTTTTTCTCTCTCTTTCATCTGTCTTGAAGTTCACTGACTCTTTTCTTTGTCATCTCCATCATGCTTATTAAGCATACTCAATACTTATTTATTTATCTCTTAGTTCTAAAATTTCCATTTGGTTCTTTATTAATGTTTTGTTTCTCTGCTGAGCCTTCTTATCCTTTCATTCATTACTTAACACTCCTTGACTTCAGTAAGCATAAGCATAATAGCAGCTTTAAAGTTCTTGTCTGAATGACAACATTGTAGGTTTGACATCTGTTAATTGTCTGTTCCCTTGAGAATGAGAATAACTGAGGTTTTCCCTAGACCTAGTGAATATTAATGTTCTAGAGATTTAGGGTTCTGTTATATTGCTCTGAAGATGTTGATGGGTTTTATTTGGAAACAGTTAACTAGATTATGCTCAAAGTGCAAATTCTGTCAATGTCTCTGGTAGATAGTAGCTCCCATTTCAGACTACCACAGTCAGCCCTGAGCAAGTGTGAGTCAGAAGTCAGTCAGAAACTTGGGAAGAGTTTATACCTAGAGTTGGGGGTTCCCATCTCAGTCTTGCTGCTTTCTGGCCTCCCCTCTCACTCTCTGGCAGTCTTAGTTGCCCCAGGCACCTTCCCCTGATGTGTGTCAGAAAGACAACTTTTATTAATTATAGCTGACCAACAGCTGGCCACCATAATTGTGGCCTCCCCTCTGGCCAAAACCAAGAATTTTTGTTCTTCTCCAAGATCTGTCTGCTTTTGTTCTCTCCAGTGCCCTCAGGTAGGTTTTCCTGTTCATTCATTTTGTTTTTTATCATTTGTACTGAATTTGCCATTTGCTAGAGGGTTGGTGTGTTAGGACCTTGCTCCTCCTTACCAGAAGCAGAGGCTGTGTGTTTCAA